AAAAAAAATATATATATATATTTTAATTAAAATACTTTATTTTGATTGCAATAAAACTTCTCTAGCACGTCACACATTGTAGTTTTAATATAACAAAGTTCGTGAAAAAAGCCGCCTTTCTTGCAACTTTAATTAAAAATTGCAACATGATGGAATAAACCCAGGTTCGTATTCAGGATCCAAAAAACTATAAGAAACTGTTTTGTAATTTTTGTTGTCGAACGCTGCAATTTAATCATTTAAAAATGAAAAAAAAACAAACAACTTTTAACATTAAAAAAATAGTGTTAAAGGTGAAATAATATTTTCCGTCAAGTAAGAAATATATCAAACAGTATATAACTTCTAATTCGGAAAGAAAAAGTGCAAACAACTTTTTATGTAAAAAAAAAAAAAAAAAAAATAAAAAAAAAGATCCTTTCAAGAGCGGAATGATATTTTCCCCTGTCGAACGTATCGGGTCAACAAATCGCCTTGGATGTTCATTTCTACTTAAATGCCCCGAGAAGTATCCGCCCCCGCTTTTCGCTTACGGAACTTTGATAAAATCATCGGGGAATTTCCCGGGGTTGCGATGATCGCGCGCGGATAGTTTTTTAAAATCTTCTTCTCCACCGATAACGGCGCGAATCGAGTTCAGTTCGGGTAATCCGTCCGTCGTTTAAAGGCACGTACAAAGACCACGAAGAGGAGCTTAGTGAGCCAGAAGAGCGGATCGTTTTGCTCGTAAGCGAAGCTCTCTCTCTCTTTCTCTTGACTCGAGGAAAAGCTATCCGCGAGCGAGGAAACGAAGTCGCGCGGAAGGGAAAGAGACCCCCGAAAGGGGGTTCAAAGGGTGGGAGACGACACTGCGTGATAGTCGGATGCTCTCTCCCTCCGGAATGAAGTCGGATCATATTTTTAAGATGCAATTTCGAGGAAAATCTCTTACGCGGTAGCAGCTGCTGCTGCTCTCGCCCAACTCACCGTTAGCCCGTTTCCTGCAGCCCTTCGCGACGTATATTCTAAGGAGAGGTCGCCGTAGCGACGAAACGAAAAGACGAAAGGAAACGACGAGGACGGAGTTGGGGGAGATGAGCCGGGTTAAAGTGAGCGACGGAAGACGGAAGGAATATGAGGCCGGGACCCGGAAAAGTCTAATGTATCTTTGAGATTCCCGATGGTATAATATAATTGTGGCGTCCTTCATGCAATTCTTCTACTTCAGGAAAATTAGACTTGAAAAGGGCAAAACTTCATACAAATTACGATCAAGCTGAATTTTTGTGGAGACCTTTATTTCGATGTTTCAATGAAATCCTGAAAAGTATCCTTAATTTTTATCCAGGGTGTTTTTTTTTATGGGGAGTTAGTTTTTTGACATTATCTCGAAAACTATCAATTTTTCGAGAAAAATTGTTATTATCAAAATTATAGCTCATAAAATTCCCTACAAAAAAGGTCTTTATTCTTTTTTTTGTATAACTAATCGTTTTTTAGTAAAACGTGCGGTAAAGTTGCAATGTCTATAGTAGTGTGGACATTTTCTCTTTTAAACTTAATTCAATCTATATCTTCGAAATGGTTAATTCCACGAAAAAAAGTATGAAGACCTTTTTTGTAGGGAATTCGATGAGCTACAATTTTGATAATAACTATTTCTCTCGAAAAATTGATAGATTTCAAGATAATGGCAAAAAACTAAATTTTACCCCCTTTTGCTCCCCATAAAAAAACGTCCTGGATGAAATTAAGAGTACTTTTCAGAATTTCATTAGAACATCGAAATAAAGGTTTTCACAAAAATTCAGTTTGATCCTAATTTTTATGAAATCAAAGTCTAATTTTACTGGACTATTCGTCAGATGTTGGATTGATGCTCTTGACAACTCAAAAAATGCAGCGAAAAATTGCTAAATTAAATAGTTATGATCATTCAAAGTTTAACATTTTCTAGGGAATATATAATTATTTATATATTTTATACTTATAAAATTGTAAAACTATAATATTATTACTCATAAAATTTTTATATACTTATTTATATTATAATTTAAATTTTATATAAATTTTTTATGAGAATAATGGTATTATTCATTAAATAATTATATTTCAAAAATGTACAAAGATGCAGAAAATAGCACAATTATGATTATTCAAAGTTTAATGTACATTTCTGGAATATATTATTTTATATATTATTACTCATAAAATATGTAATATATTATCATATATAATTTAATTTTAATATGCAATTTTAAAATGACAATATTACTCATAAAATTTTTATATGGTTATTCGAATGATGGGGGGTTGGAAGGGGTTTTCATATTCTATTATATTTAAAATCGCCAACATGCAATATAAAATAATGTAACTTTTGTAAAGTTTGTATAAAACTGTTTGAAAGAAGGATGGAAAGGTGTGTCTCTATACTGTTTGAGAAAGTTTTTAAGAAGAAAGAGAAAGAAAGAGAAATGTCTGACGTCTAGGGAAGATTAATGCGCAGCCGTTTTGTAATCGCGTAAAACCGCGTTCGGAGGAGATTGAACTTTCCTTAGGTATAATCGAATTCTACATATTTCGTTAACGCTTTGTTCCTGTCGAAAGTTACATCGAGATACGACATGTCGGAAAATTGCACTAGATTGTAAAGAAATTTTTTTTTTTCAGTCATTTAAAACCAGACAAGATTGTTTTATAAATTTTTGAATGTTGCAAGTTAATTTTCATCAATACATCAAATTTCTAAAATAATTGAGGTTTAAATATAGTATTCTGGCGGCACAAAACGAGAATAACTCATCTTACATTTTCGTGCACACATGAAATCTGGTCTGGTCTAATTTCAGGTAAAATACAATCCGTATAACTAATAAATAGTTTACCTAACCTCACATTTTGTCGATAAAACAGGAAAAACAACACTTCTCAAAAATGTTTAGAATATCCCCTTAAATTAACATACAAATTTCTGTGGACCGTTTGGGACATGTGACATCTGTCAAATTGAACACAAATTTTCCAACTATATTTTTACACTTTATTAAATACACTTCTGATTTAAAATAATCTTTGTAAACTCTTATCAATTCACGGCCATTCGCAACCGCCGCTTCTCGCGATCGTGCTGCCGCAGTCAGCTGATCGTGACAATTAGAATTCAGGAAGGGCGCGTCGGTGGTTGCCACCGATACACGCGATGCGACAAAGTTTGTCGCTGATAGTCTCTCTCGTCCTCCCCGGAATACACCCTGGGAGCGTTCCTTTAACTTCCCCGACTCCATTGCAATTGCCGTGCGCTAAAGGTAGAGAGTAGTACCTACTCCAGGTATGTATAGGTTAGATGTATACACAATGCGCTACGGTGGCGCGGCAGCGTTTCGAAATTCAAGTAGCGGCGCTGCCTAGAATAAGCAGGCGGGTGGTCTCAGGAGGCAACTACCTCGTATGAGCTGGGACTGACTAACATTGGTTACGTCTTGATACCCACCCCTCGCTTTATGCTCGTAGCACCCTTTTTATTTTCTCCGAGATACGGGACGGAACGGACGGGAGATAGTTTCCGTGAATCGCATTCAATCTGCTACGCTCGACGCGACTTCATGTTTCGGATGCGACATTTATTCCAAATTTATAATTCGTAAAATTTTCTGCATTTTTACTTACGAGATTTTTTGATGAAAAATAATTTTTTTTTGCGGACACGTGAAAGAAAATAATTGTTTTTTATATTGAATACAATTCCGAATACAATTGCAAAATCATGTTACAATTTTGAGAAATTTTCGGTTAAAGTTGAAAAAAATGTTATTTCAATGTATGTGTATTGTATTGTGTTATAATCACGGTGTATCATGTATTAAAGAATGCTATTAAAGTTAATTATGTTGCTAAGATGTTTAGACTTCAAAAAATTTGTTGTCAATTATATTTAATCAGAATTTTATAAAATGTAAGATTTATTTTAAAAAAAAGAATTACAATAAATTAAATTATTAAGAATCTACGTAAATAATTTTTGTTTATATTTATTTAATCTCAAGTTTCTTTAGAGAGATCAATATAAATATATTGATTACTAATTACTATTTATTAATATTTATTAGTATTTATTAATATTTATCAATCAAAATTATTAAACTCCAAATATGTACATAAATTTCTGTAAATATTTTTAATTTAATATTTATCATATTGATTTCTACTGATTTTAAATTTATTAGTTTTGACAACAGATTCGTATTCAACGATTTAAAACAATTCTGAAGTACGTATAAACAAAATTAAAAATTACTTGATGGATCTTCAATGATTTAATTTGTAACTTTTTTGCAATTCTCCATTGAATATTTTATTAATCATAATTGATGTAGCAAATCCTTGCAAGAGTTGGAAGTTTTCTAACAACACACTTGACTTTAATTTTTAACAAAATTTCTCCAACATGTTACACACGTACCATAGTCATAACATGATAAAATACATTAAAACAGTCCAATTTCGCAACTTTCATCATCACAAATGTTTCAAAACTGAAACGTGATGGAGCAATTTAAGAGTTGGAATCGTATTCACAGCATCAAAAAAAAAGAAATAATTACTCTCTTTCTGGAATTTTTTTGTTCTATATTATCGTATTATTTAAAAAAAATATATGAAAAATTGTTGGATTCATCGAGACTTCAAGTATGAAAGACGACAGAATTCATGATTTTCAGAGATTTTCCTTACGAGAATATAGATCTATATCGAAGAGCGAGGTTACATTGATGCCTCTTATTCTCATGCGTGACGACAGCTCATATAAAATACGTTCAAATAAAGGATTTGAAGTTCCATTCAAAGTTTGATATATACACAATTTCGACAAAATTGCTACGAGTCTTCTCGTATAGTAATATTGTTGCGTAAAATTTATATATATATATATATATATATATATGCATTTTTTAGAAAATCACGCTGTATAGATAAAAAGGAAAAATAATATATAAAAAGCAATATTTAAGAATACTTACGTCGTGTATCCAGACAAGCTTCGACCAGGGAGGATTGGCTCTGATGTGGCACTCAAAATACACGTCATCCCCTTCTTTAATGTCTTCTGGGCTTAAGGTCGATCCGAGGTTTAACGATACTATCGGCGGATCTGCAAGCACAAAACATTAAAATCTTTTTTACTTGAGATCAGCTGACATCTTATATACATATATATATATTTACATTTTTCTTTTTCCTCCCATCTTCCTTTTTTAAATATCATTAAGATGATAAGATAAGAATATAATAATATAATTCATTAAAAGATATAAAATACATATTGATAATATTATCATATTATATGTTATACATATTTTATTTTTCTAGAAAAATTATAATTTTGATAATAATTATTCTTATTATCTCTCATTATCTTAATAATGATGATAATCATTGTATAATAATAATAATAATAATAATAATAATAATGTGTTAATGAGATAATAATTTTATTAAAGACTAAAAAATAAAATAATATAATAAAATAAAATAATAAATGTAATAAAATAAAAAAAAATAAAAATACAAGTGAGAACGATAAACTTTGTTTACTCGGACGTTGCGCGGTAAAATATATGCGGTGTCGTAAATATTGCGATAAAAGCGGTCGTAATCGCCACTTTCATTACCGGACTCGAAGCGCAATATCACGATTTCTGCCGATATTGTTACAGTCCGCGGCATAATCTTCAGCCTCCATTAGCGTCGATATTTTTCCTCCGCCCGTGGGACGCTCAATAATATCTCGCGCTCTCTTTTTTTGCGTGGTAGATGTAGCTGTAGCTCAGCTACGAATGGCTCTCGACGTTCGAGGCTTTTATTTGTTCCTCGTATCTGACGTTTATTGCGTGATCATTAGTTTAATCATGTCGAGCCCCTCCGATCCTTCTCTATTTTTTTTCTCTCGGCGTATTACTCCAGTAAAATTAGACTTGAAAAGGCAAAATTTCATAAAAATTAGGATCAAGCTGAATTTTTTTGGAGACCTTTCGATGTTCTAATGAAATCCTGAAAAGTGCTCTTAATTTTATTCAGGGCGTTTTTTATGGGGGTAAATTTTAGTTTTTTGATATTATCTCGAAAATTATTAACTTTTCGAGAAAAATAGTTATTATCAAAATTGTAGCACAAAAAGTGTGTAAAATTCCCTACAAAAAAAGTCATTATACTATTTTTCGTGGAATTAACAATTTCGAAGATATAGAGCGAAGATATAGATATGCAACTTCATGCGCACGTTTTATTCAAAAACAATTAACTGTACGAAAAAAGTATAAAAATCTTTTTTGTAGAGAATTTTATGAGCTATTAGCAGTTTTGATAATAACTATTTTTGTCGAAAAATCGATAGTTTTCGAGATAATGTCAAAAAAATTAAAATTTACCCACTTTTACCCCCTACAAAAAACACCCTGGATGAAATTAAAGATATTTGTTTTTCAGGATTTCATTAGAACATCGAAATAAAGATTTCCACAAAAATTCAGCTTGATCCTAATTTTTATGAAGTCAAAGTCTAATTTTACTGAACTATATATATCCTTAATTCTCTCTCTTTCTTTCTACAGCACCTTATCGCAATAAATTTTTCAAGTTGACTCTTCTTTTTCCCGGGACCGCATTACTCGCGCAAAATAGTATTAATTAGCTTGATCACCCCGGTTTATCTCCCGGTCTTATCGTTAACCCTTCCGAACCCTTAGCCCTACCGCGGTGATCTATCGTCCGATAGCCCTACATATTTCCTTTTGTAAATCACGGCAAAGTTCATTAATATGAAAAAAGGGTCGGAGGAAGAAATTACTGCCTCCTCTCCTTCTTCAAAAAAAAAAAAAAAATTACTTAATTTTCGTTATTCTGGCGGATCGATAGACACGACGACGGTGACGAGGAGTCGTGACAGTTCTACGTTCTTACGTTCTAAGTGGTGCAATTTCGGATCCCGGTCAACGTAATCGAATACGTGACACGACATCATTTCCTGTATTCTGCACTTTTTCTCGCCTCGCGTGAATCCTTGCACGTATATACATTTCGCCGGAGTTTCGCCGACTATATTTTTCGCCGGAGACGTGCAGGTGCGACCTCTGGACGGATGAGAATGAACGATAAACCGTACCGGGATCGGAGAAATTTATCGTCGCCCAAGTAACGCCCCTCAGAATTGAAAAAAATATCCGCGAATACGACTCTTTCCGGTTATTTGTACAATTAAAATGAACCTACGGTGATACGCGGGAAAAAAAGTGTAAAAACAGTCGGTCTCTCTGTTTTGTCAAAACTAACCTCTCTCCGCGCGCGGATATAAATTTGCATCGTGAGGCTACAACCGTCGTTTTCTTTAGAAACATTCGATTTTATTGTGTCTGCGCTGCTAACCCATTTTTCAAAGAAAATTTATTTTATACACACATAAAGATGAAAATTAAATAGAAAAATTATTTTGATAAATTTAAAGACTAATAAAAATTGAAATTAATTTTTTCTTAACTTTCATTAAGGAATAAATGTGAATTAAATTATACATAAAGCTAAGAAAATAAAATTTAAGATTAATAATCAGAAAAATTATTTTGTTGAACGTAAGACTACAAATTCAGATTAATTTTTCTTAATTTAAGAAAATGCGGATTCTCTCAATCAAACACATAGTTGAAAAAATCAAATTTGAGCTTAATAATTAGAATGATTGAATTTGTGTTAAAAGTGTAAGATGTAATAAAAATTGAAATTAATTTTTTCTTAACTTTTGTTAACGATTAAATGTAAATTAAATTATTTAACTTTTTTAAGGAATTAAATTACACACATAGGAAATGAAATTTAAGATTAATAATTAAGATAATTATTTTGTTGAATATAAGACTAATAAAAATTCAGATTAATTTTTCTTATTTAAAAAAATGTGGATTAAACCACAAAGTTGAGAAAATCAAATTTAAGATTAATAATTAGATTGATTGAATTTGTGTTAAGCAGATTATTTTTAATTTTTTTAAGAAAATAAATTACACACATAGAAAATGAAATTTAAGATTAATAATTAAGACAATTATTTTGTCGAACGTAAGACTAATAAAACTTCTCAAATTAATTTTTTGAAGCAAAAAAAATGTGGATTAAATTGGAGAGTTACGCTAAATTCTTGATACTTTCTTCTCGTGATAAATCGACTATTATAATTCAACATTTGTAAACGTTAAGACGCTATTACTCGACTGCAGCATTAGAGATGCTGCGAGAGATTTCCCTGGCGTAGATTAAAGACGGATGATGTTCGTGCGCGAAAACTTTCGAGATTACGAGTCGTCGACGAGCAGTGTGTTGAACGCTTAAACCGTTTTATCGCGAGCGAGGTGATGGTTTGTTTGCGATTCAAAAGGGAGCCGTTTGCGCGTGTAAAGTCTGCCTTATGCCCGCATGATGATAGCATGACGGTATAAAAGCATTCGCTTATTATTGCATCTTCCGAAGTACACATTAAGAAACAAAAAGACGAGCTTTTTACGACATGTATGAAATTTAAAATCGTTCCCTAACTGTCTCATTTCGTGCATCGCGTTGCACCACATTGTACAGATTCAGCAAAGCAGCGTAAAAATCATCACGAGAAGATATAATTCGCCTTATTTTCTGGGTCAAATATGAAACGTTCGCGTTGACGATTCTCAAGATATGATACACGAGATATAAAGTATTGTCAGCCACTCGTTTGGTTTTAATTTTCGGATTTTTAAACTTACGCAATATTGAAAACGAATATTTTATATGCGCGTAAAATTTAAAAAAAAATATCGTTTTTTTTATATCTTAAAAATATTTGTTTTAATTATTATAATATGGATACTATTTTTTGGGAAAAACAATTTTAAAATATTTTAATTTTCGTTTTAAATTGTTTTATAAATCTTACGTAGTAATAGAAAATATTTCATTTGAATGCAGAATGGAGGAAAAAATATTGTGTGTTTATTTTTAATTAAAAAATAATTTTTAAATTATTGCATTTTTTGAGAACAAATTAAAATAAAATACAAAATTGAAACTCCAAAATCTTTTAATTTTTAAATTATCAAAATTGATAAAATAAAATATTATACAATTTTTAATTTTCTGCCTTTTTAAACTGTTTTCAAACTTATATAATAAATGGAAACAAATATTTTATGTGCGTGCTTTATAAAAACATCGTTTATTTTTAATTTAAAAATATTTTTTTAATTATTATAATATAGATTCTATTTCTTGAGAAAAACAATTAAAATCTTTTAATTTTCGTATATTTCAATTTTTAAATTGTTTTATAAACCTTACGTAGTAATAGAAAATATTTCACGTGCGTGCAGAATTTTGAGAAAAACATTAAAATATAATACAAAATTAAAATTCCAAAAAATATTTAAAAATGATTAAAGATGATCAAATATTATATTACAATCAAAATTATAAAATTTTCTTAATAAAATATGTATAAAGGAGACTTTGCGGATCAAAATGGACCCTAGATTCGCGCGAGGCTGTCACGTTATTCGCTGTCCGAGGGTTAATATGCGCCAAGAAGCGTGCCATAACTCTCGATATAAGTCGAACGTAAAGTTTTACGAGGCCGGATGAGCGTAGCTGTGCGTGATAAATTTCACAGACGTTCGCGAAAATCGACGGCCCGCGATGTCTTGCTCGACATACTTACACACACGCACACACACACATACATTATTTTCCTTCACATCGCGGTTAAGCACTCATCTGTGGAAAGAACATCTTCATTTCTATCGTAATAATCGGATGCGTCGCGTTTAGCGACTCCAAGATGTATTCAAGAAGAAACTAATCAAGGATGATGAATCTCATAATCGAGAAAGACTATACTAATAATCGTATACAGGTGATTTTAAATAAACGCGAAAAATTTTATGGATATTTTTCTTTGTCAAAAATTAAGGGGAGTTTTCATATAAACGTATATATTAGATTTTTATTTATTTCTGCAAATTTTGGACAAGTTAAAAAAATAAAATTTGATAGATATTTATATTAATAAAAAGGATACTAATTAATATTTTTCATCCTTTTATATCGTTATGATATATTACAAGGATAAAACTTTTACTAAATTTTTTATTAGAACTTTTTAACGGGTCGGAATGTGATCATCTAAAAATACGTTAAAAGGTTCGATTTTTTTAGAAATTTTCTTCTATTTTTTTCGTAAAATCAATAATTTGTAAGAAAAACAATTAAAATATATTATCAAATATATGCACGCTTCTAAACGGCATAGATTTCGAATTATGAGAAGTGTTAAATTTTATAATAAAAAAGCAAGCAGAACAAAATTATAGTAAATGTTGGAAAAAATAAAACAAAAACAAAATTTAAGGGAAAATTAAAAATCTAATTTTCATCTCAAGAAGAGATATAAGAGTATATAATTATATGAAAGACCTTCCTTCAATTTTTGACAAAAGAATCATCTCCTACAATTTTTCGCACTTATTTAGCTGTCACCTTTTTTAAGCGTTTATTTTTTTTCGTACAATTTTTTTTATGACAGTCTCGAGATCAAGAGTTCTGACGAAGATACTTGGCGATCGGCGTTGAATTTCGATTCTAATTTATGTGAAATCTCCTTTTATTGACGTTATAAAAAAAATGGAAGGGGGAGAAGCACGCGTGAGGGATACAAAAGGGAAAAACGCGCGAAAGAAAATGTACGCGGATGAAAAGATGCTCGTAAAGTCGGCCGATTCGGCGGGATTCGAATGAAGATAAGAAGATCGGAGATGGTGTTTATCGGTCAATTTTTTTTTACGACACGTAGAAATGGATAAAGCCGAAAGAAAGAGAGAAAGAGAAGGACTTGCGATCGATAAACAGCAACGTAACGTAACCATTCGTCATGTTGTCGTATTCGATTTACCGCGATCAGTTTCGCGATCTGTCGATCGTCGAGCGAGTTTACGGTCCGCGAGAAATTGGAACGTTAAGGAAAAATGTAACGTATACTTACACACGACGTCGATCTTCCAGGACTTCTCGACGTAGAGTCCGGTCACGTTTGGATTCTCCGCCCGGCAGGTGATAGATTTCCCATGATCCTCCACACCCGGCTCGAACTCCACCGTGCTGACGGTTCGATTCTCCGATCTTTCCTCCTGCGAACCATATACCATAGGTGAAAATCGTCAAATTATCTTTCTTATCTATTACCGGCGATTTGTTCGCTCCGTAAATCGCGACACTTTACGACGCGCGTCTGCGTAAATCACTCGCGTGCACAAATCAAGCTTACAAGGAAGCAAATAATAAGATAAATAATGTAGACACCGAATACATGTTGCAAAATTAACAGCAAAATAACACAAATCTTAAGGGGATGCTGCCGTTGTTCTGTTTTACCGACTTTAAATTAGGTTAGGTTCACTTTTTATTGACTATACAGATTGAAGAATCTTTTGATACAGGCTTTTAATCTCAATTTTATTACTTCTGTATTATTCTTTCATGTCATCTCTAATTGGAAACGCCATATTTTATGCATAAATAAACTGCAGAACTTTTGTAATAAATAAGTATTGTTATGAGGTGATGCAAGAGGCCGATAAAAAACTATAATTCCTTAATTTTTATTGCTTTTTATACAAAATTACAGCACTTCCCGTTCATTATTATCAGTATTTTAATTTGTATTTTAATTGTGGAGAAGGATTTTTTAATCTGTATAGCTAATAAAAAGAAAAGTCCTTGAACTCAAAGTCGGCAAAACAGTCATAGTCAGCATTCCCTTAAGGGGATCCTAAACGTTCTTGAGAAGTTTGTTGTTTTTTCCTGTTTTATCGATAAAATGTGAAGTTAGAATGAATGCTTAGAATTCATAATTCTGTAATCAAGCTATATAAGACTACATAGATTAATTATTCTTTTTCCTGTACAAGTTAAAGTATTAATATTAACAAAGAGCGAAGCGCTCTAATTTCAGGTAAAAAACAATCCGTATAGCCAATAAATAGATTTATAGTTTATTTAACCTTACATTTTGTCGCTAAAACAGGAAAAAAGCAACAGACTTTTGAAGGACGTTTAGAATTTTCTTAAAGTGCACAGAAACTTTTTTCCTTTATATATTTTAAGAGGTTTTCGGATTATATATTTCAAAGAAGCAAATATATAATTTTATTTTATAAGACGTGGCAATATTTTATATGTATGTATAAATAAGTAATAAAGTTTTAATATAATAGTTATAATAAATTACTTTATAGAAAATTATTATTATTAAAGCAATTTTTTATTATTGTATTTATTTGGATCATAATTGAAGATATATGTACTTAGAAAAGTATGTCGAAGCAAATATATAATTTTAAATATCGATATAAAAGATCGTGTTGTTGATTAAGTTGTTGATTCGAAGAACAAAAATAAATAAATACTTAAATGGAAAAATATGACACAATAAAATATACATTATATGTTCCTCGAACAATTCTCATTTTTTGCCTAAAAATATGCAGCCGCTAATTAAATTTATATATCGCTTTTAAGACATAATAGCATGCATTAATGTTATTAGCGGATCAATATATCCGATTCAGCCGGAATTGCAGGTGACAGATAAGAAAAATTTTCCCGGAAAAGTTTGTTTGCCTATCGGAAACTTGAGACAGAATGCGACAGAGGAAGAAATACGGATATTGTTAGGGAAATAATGAAAGTACAGAAGTAATGAAATGCGAGCTGCGCTTAGCAAAAGTTTATAAGCTGCCGTCGAAATCGCGAAAAATGTCGCGTACTATAATTAATTAATTGAACAATAATTACATATTTATATATATTTATTAATTATATATAGTTTTAAATTTTAGATTTATATATTTATATATTTTATATTTATATATTTTATATTTATATATTTATTAATTATATTTTTTATATTTAATTTTTTTATATTTTACATTTTATATTTTTTATATAAAATGATTTATAATGATTATTCCGTTTGTGCAACAAATTATGTTGTCAATATATATATTTTTCATTTTTCGATCAGTATAATTACTTTTTTGACACATGTCAAAAACATGTGTCAAACACATAACTTAACCTAACCGTTATAATTTATTTACAGCAACTGCAGAGCATTCTTTCCTGTCTTTGTATTTTGTTTCGGTAAGGGAGAACACATTTTTTAACATTTAAAATTCCTTTGATACCGTAGTTCGTTAACAGAATAAGGATGAAATCGAGATGGCCTCTCTCTTAACCGCTATTGCATTCACTGCATCTGTCCTATATCGTTGCCATTGTGTATCTGCCTGCGAAACTTTTTGTTTACCGCGCCAGTCAATGCAAACAGCAAATTCAAACACTTGAGGTCGAAACACTTATGCCAGAAGAGAGCGAGAGAGAGAGATAGGACTCACTGCCGAGATAGACGATGCTAAATTAGCACACGCGTTAGTATGGAGTACGTGCGTTCTCGCTCAGGCGGAAGTCCTAGTTGCCAAACTGCTATATTCTATTAAGGAACTAGAAATGCGCCGAGTCGATCTCACTTGAAAACGCGTTTTGCAATTTCTACGCGACGGAAAGTCATTCACATTCGTGACGTGACGTGACGAGGTGAATGCGAGATACGGGACGACGTTCGATTAGCTTCACGCGCAATATGAATTAATTAATAGTTCCGTGCAAAGTTGACTTTCCGGCGGGAACAATATTTTTCACGAACAATTAGGAGCGGGCTAATTAACGGCCGAGCGCTAAAATATTAAATAATATAAATAGTAACATAATATGAGATACAAATGAAAATAAATATTTTTATTCGGAGTATTTTTAATATGAAGCTTAAATTGAATTGGAAAAAAATTTAAGAGCGATAAAATAATAACTCTGTTGAGTTCCAATTTATCTCGATTATTGAGAGATGTAGAGAATAAAAATCTGAAAAATGGTAGTTGTAGTATCGTGTTTATCCCATAACTACGTTAATTGCTATTTAATTGATATTCATTATTTATCGTCGTTACACAACCTGATAGGTGACTTAATTTTAATATTTAATTTTGCACTTAGCATCCGAATGCACAAAGCATTCAATTCGCTGCCACGCGCGCTCCTATTCAATCATTTGCATCTCTAGAATCTCTGTTATTTGCGTTAACCCACTCGAGTTTGCGTTTAGTTTCACAAAACCCGCCTCTGCCTCTCAGCTGTTAGTCGCTTCGCGCTTTAATCATTATGCTAATTGTATAACTACTACATGTATATACATATATAGGCCAAATTTAGTAACTCTATGAATATGAAATGCCATCGACAATGTCGATAAATACTAATCATTGTGCTATTCTTCCTCCCTTGCGTGGTTGTTTCGTATATCTTAACTAATGTAATATCACTGTTCTGTTGCGCGATATCAATAATTACGAAAATGTACATATATTTAATATTTTTATAATTATGAAAATATACGTTTAAAATCTTTTTAATCTGCAATTCTTGTTACTTATCAATAAGGATCTCCCGCGAACACTTTAAAAACAAAAACTACTATTACAAATAATACTTATATTGCCACAAATAAAATTCTTTTAATCAATAACAGTTTACTAAAAAAACAGAATAAAAAAAAAAGAGAATGACCATTTTCCATAACCATAGTTTTTTACAGATATTTTTTTATAAATATAATTTCGGTTTCCATTATTGTTCCATCACGTTACAATTTGAAGAAATTTGTGATTAAAATTACAAACAAAAACTCTATTTTAATTATTATATATTACATTATAACTACAATATATGTATTGATGTGTTGAATAAGTTTTTTCGCAATCAAAGTAAAATGTGTTTCTGTAAAACTTTCGGTCCTCGAAAGGAATTTGTCGACTTCAATATAACTAATGAGATATTCATAGTTAAATAAGCAGTTTATTGTAGAAACATTTTTGAAGATCTACAAAATAATTTTCAATTACTAAGTTTATTCAAATTTTAAAGTTTTTTAAGTCGCCGAGTACGAACGTAATATCAAAATTGACAAATTTAAAAGAGCAGAAAGCATGAGATAAATGTCAAATTAAACATGTTCGCAAAAATTTAATATTAAGATGCCTATATTTAGCGACGTATAAAATCTAGAGTAACTAAATTAAGTTTGATTAAACATAATTAAAAACTTTGATATTTAAATATTTAATGATGATATATATATTGAGCCATGTAATATTTTAACCATGAATATCTTATTAACTATAATTGACACAGTTTTTGAAACCTAAACTTCTTAATAATGTGTTTAACTTTGTATGTACGTTGCTGTAATTTAATTTTTATGTCATTATTTAAGTATATATCTTCTTATTTACTATAAATATCTGTGTTCGATATTACCTCTATTTTTGGTTGATTTCAATTTTGTTTATTTACACAGATGACTAACAGTACCACGACTGTCTATCTATTTCCGACCTTACAGTCGTCTCTTATTGATCTCTCCGTTAATAGCATTAGTGTGTCCTATTGAAAACGATATCGCTTTTCAATTCCATTTATATTTACGGTAAGACTTTCTCTTACTTCTTAATATTAAATAACAAATTAAAAATACAATAATGTAAAGTAGAGAAAATTTAATTTTTTTCACAAGACGTTATATTAAATTCTACATATATTATATAATTTTAAATAATTTTATATAATTTTATACATATTATATAAATAAGAATGTGTATATTTTTTCATAAATTGCTTTATATAAAATAATAATTATTAAAGCAATTTTATCGCAATATTTATTTGAATCATAATTAAAGATATATTTAGAAGAATATATCGAAGCAAATGTAATATAATTTTATAAGCGTTAACACAAACAAGTGTCGGCGCTGACGGAGAACATATATGTATAATAGAAAAAAAAAATAAACGGAAAAAACGTGAAAAATAAAATATACATTACAATTATTCTTTGATCGATTCTTTTTTTAAAGTCCAGCTGCTAATTAAATTTATATATCGTTTTTAGGACATAATGAAACGTGCTCAAATTAAGATAAGATTAATGTACTCTGGTATACCGAAGTCGCAAGTGATAGGGAAACACAAGAAAATTTTTTTCGATAAAGTGTGTTTATCTATCGGAAACTGGAGTCAGAAAATGACAGAAGAAGAAATACGGATGCTGTTAGAAAAATACGGAGAAGTAATAAAATGCGAGCTACGCTTAGAGAGAAAAGAAGTTTACGTCGAAATGGTAATCGAGGAAAAAATCACGTATTATAATTAATAATTAAGGAGATGCTGCCGTAGTTCTGTTTTACCAACTTTAAGTTAGGTTCACTTTTTATTGAATATACAGATTGAAGAATCTTTTGATACAGGCTTTTAATCTTATTTTTATTACTTTTGTATTATTCTTTCATGTCATCTCTATTGGAAGCGCCATATTTTGTGCACAAATAAACTGGAGAACTTTTGTATTAAATAAGTATTGTTATGAGCTGATGCAAGAGGCCGATAAAAAAACTGTAACTTTCTTAACTTTTATTGTTTCTTTATACAAATTTACAGCGCCCCCGTTCATTATTATCAGTATTTTAATTGTGGAGAAGGATGTTTCAATCTCTATAGACAATAAAAAGAAAAGCCCTTAAACTCAAAGTCGGTAAAACAGACATGGTCAGCATCCTCTTTGATTAATAATTTTTTTCTAAATTCTAGAATTCTGCAACGGATGTAATAGCAATTAAACGCGATCTACATGGCACGTTGTACAAAGATCGAGAGCTTGAGATACTTATTCTTGATGCTCATGCGCTTAAAATCGAAAAACTTAGCTCTTGGATACCTAATGATTTACTCGAAAAAGCATTCGGTGCATCAACCGGCAACACCAAATGCTCGATAACTTTTATAAACAATAAATGTCAAGCTATCGCCAAAGCAATCATCAAATTCCAGACAAAGATGGATTTTCAGAGGATCGTGAAACTTGCGCAACAATGCTACATATCTATATCGTGAGTTTCTTTTTCATTTTTTAAAGCTAAACAAGTGAATTAGACACACTCGAAAAAATAGAAAATTATAATTTCACGAAAACATGACTAAATAATTTCATTGTACGTTATTAGAGAATTATATAGGATTATTCTTGCTTAAAAAATAAAATCTTGATATAAAAAAATTTTTTAAATTCATTAAAAATTTATTTTCGTATTTCAGCGATTCTCCATCAGAAAATGAAGAATCGGTCGAGCAAAATAATGCGAACGACGTGTTCAGAAATAAGAATCTTCCGTGTATGACTCCGAAATTCTGTACAGTCAATAAGAAGCCTGTCAAGTCTAATTTAGCGGAATTGCGTATTATGCGTAAATATAATCAAGTATGGAATGAGTTGCACCAAAACTACGAAAAAAACAAGGAAGTACTCGAACAAAATTTAATGACGAACAAAATGATATTCGAAGATCAATTAAGAAACGAGCTTAATGATACATTTTTCAGAAAACGTATTGTATCTTCGACACAATCATTCCTTTTTTCTTTTTTTTTTTTTTTAGAAACGCAAAAATAATTATGTTTTATATACATTGCAGAGAAATGTATGGTTGCGCTCCACAATCACGTGATAAGGAAGATGATAAGTAAGATCCAAAATAAAGAGTAAAGGTTACTCTAGGAAATAAAATGGCAATAACGGCAAGAATGTGCAATATAACAGATAACAAAGTAAAAAAAGAGACAAAATATAGCTATTAACGAGGGTTTAAACAAGACTAGAATTTTAAATATGTTTATTGTGTGTGTGTAGTATTTTCACACATAAAAACGAAAAATATTATACAGGAAAATTGAGAAATTGATTGACATTTATGCATATACTATATATAAATGTATAAAGATTGAAAAAATAGAATTTCTTGTAAAGCAAATGAAATTTTAGGAACTATATTGAACTGTCATTCAATATGGTTGCGAGCGATTTCTATTAATATAAAATTATGTTATCAATATACTTGCGAGCACACAAATTGCTCTTCAAAAATTTTGATGGAAAGAAATAAATTATTAAAGCTTTCAAAATCACATTATTGTATTGTTAAATAATTTAGAAAGTGTTCTAAATATTCCCCTTCTGATTTAATTATTTATGTTTTAATAAATCAAATATATTTGCAAAGATTATCGGAAAATATATCGAACAAAGAATTATCTACATTAAGTATTATTAGTTTTAAATTTACATTTAATCACTAATTGCAAATTATCAAAAATCGATCTCGAGACTCGAAATCATGTGTTTCTTATAATCACATATATAAATGATAATTATTCAGGAAAGCGTTTGCAATAGTTTAATTAGCATTTTATCAATGTTAAAAATTGACTGCAATATTCGTAAGTTGGATAAAAATATTATCGTCTAAATCTTTTCGCAACAGCTTTTTTATTGTAAAATACTGCGAAATATATCAGATTTGGAAAATGTACATTTTGATTCAAGATCTCTCGCAAATTGCAAGCACGTCTGTCTCGTCTCACTTTCCATTATCCTGACAAGTTCGTGATCGTCAAATGAAATATCTTTTTCCGTCTCTCAAAATTCGAATAAAAAAATCTTTCGAATTTTCAGAGAATAATTTGAATATTTATAGCAAAATCATCATTTGAATGATTTGTGTCTATATGTTCAATGTTGAAATATTGCTCTTAGTTTAATACTGTCATGTAACAATAGTTATAGATTGAACTTTTAATAAAGTCTTTTTAATTCGTAATCTAGATTGTCAATATTATAGATGCAAATTAAATCTAAGTCGTTTTACTCTCAATAAAAATTTGACACATGTTTAATAAATTTCCCCGTTTTTTATATTAAATAAGGATTTGTCATTTTCATTCATCCTAATTAGAATAAATGGCTCTTTTTTTATAAAAAGATATTTTTTATATCTTTGAATCGCGTCAACAGGTTCAAAGTTTTCTATCTCAATCATTCCGTCATTTTATATTTTTTAATTATAAAATTCAAGCTTGTTTTACATAATAAATAATATAAAATTCGCGATAAAATTTAAAACAAAATCTCACATATAATTTACATAACGTGCCGCGTATTTTAAAAATTGAATCTAAAAAAACGCACCTACACGAATAGAAAAATTAAATAATTTTTGCACATTATTCAATATTGTATATTTAAATGCATAATCTAATAATAATGTGTCATATACGTAATGGATTTAAAAATAAATATCATTATAAGAATATCTCCGATATATATTATTTTCTCTTTTGGCGATACATATATCGCAAGATTGATTAATTGAAAAATCCATTAGAATATACATCGAAAGGATTAAAAGAATTGCATTGCAACATGCGCCCTTCTTTGTTTCACATTTATTGGGTTTCACATTTATGTGGATAAATATAATTTAAAAAATCATAATTTCGCGGACAAACATTGAGAGAGAGAAAGAGAGAGGTTCGAGTTTCGAATCCTCTCGCACGGTATAATTACGTGGCGCAACATGGAGGATGGAATAATAATAAAAAAAAAAGAAAAAAACGAGAGAAAAATCTGATCCGACGTGCCGTAACCCATGGCTAAAATTTCAGTTATATTAGGTCCGCTACAGGAACAGAGAGCGTATATAAGCAGCAAGCGCGGTAACATCTGTCGGAATTTCGTCCCCTTCGAAAAAGCTCCGAGCGGCAAAAATCTTTTCTAAGTGCAGCGCGATTTCATTCTCCGAGCGCTAGGTTTCGCTTACTTTTCATACAGAAACGTGAGAGAAAGAAACTAGTTCGGTGCTTGTATTGTAAATTATGCCGCTCGCATTTCTCATGTGAAGAAGAAGAAGATTTCGTAGAAGAACTGGAGAGAGAACACGAGGATATATATTTTAAGATAATAGAGACAAAAGTGAACGATGCGATCTTCAAGACGATTTTTCATGTTACATCAAAAATATACAGAGTCACAGAATGAACAGATATGAAGTCGTTAAATAATTCTGACATAATTTCGCGTCTGACAAAAAAAAAAAAATATAATCATTATACAGAATTTTAATCCCCATATTTTAATCTTTCAAAAACTTTTTTTATTTGTATTTTTATTTTATCTTGCAATAAAATTTAAGAAAGAATATGTAAAAATGTAAAATTATGTCAAATTTTTAAGTATAAAATATTTTGTAAACTATTTTTTGATTATTTTATCTTTATGAAAATTCGAGGAATCGATTTATACATACATATATAAAAATATAGTGGTTTCTTTAAAAAATTAATGAGCTTTAAATGACTGAAAAGCGGCCTTCAGAACAAATCATCTATTCCTTTAAAATCAAACAACTTATGTGTGAAACATTTTGTTGTAAAAAATAAAAAAATTTTTTTGAGCGAGTGATAGATGAAAATGGGACTGATATAAGGTAAAAGATGCTCTTATTATACTATGGTGGAAAATTTATCTCGTTATACTTTGCGATAAAAAGTAGGATATAACATTTTTGCGCGGCAAGAATGAGATGGAAAGGAAGTTAGTTTCCATATATACATAAGTAGACGGCAACTAGTAACTAGGAGTTTTCGCCCGCTTTGGGAATACGCGCCTACGATAGGACAGGACCGGAGACGCCGAAGCGTCGTTGAGCATTGCGGCCGGAGGTTGTTAATGAACTACGTGAAATTAATTAGGGCCACGTGTCACAACGCCGGGAGACAACGTCGACTCCGGAGCTCTCTCTCTCTCTATATATATATATCGCTCTCTCGGAGACCGAATGCTCGGAAGTTGCAACGTCGATTCCGGATTATCAATAATGCGGGGCCCCATGGGGCCCTCCTTTTCTTCTCCCCAACTATCGTGATTCGAGCGGCATACCGACATGTAAAGTTTTGCAACGTCCGACGTGACCGAGGCATCTCCATTTGAGTAGATGATGAACTTTCCCGCGCTTTCCGGGGAAATTGCATCGTGAAGGAAGATCGTGCGATTACTATGTTTTGATGTTTCTCCGTAAGATATTCGTAAAGCTCTATAAAAGTGAGTGTTCTCGTCCGCCATTTTTCTTCCAACTGCATGTGAAGGTTAGGTTAGGTTATGGATTGAACTTTTAATAAAGTCTTTTTAATTCGTAATCTAGATTGTCAATATTATAGATGCAAATTAAATTTAAGTCGTTTTACTCTTGATAAAAATTTGACACATGTTTAATAAATTCCCCTGTTTTTTATATTAAATAAGAATTTGTCATTTATATTCATCCTAATTAGAATAAGTGGCTCTTTTTTATAAAAAAAAAAAATTTTTATATCTTTGAATTGCGTCAACAGATTCAAAGTTTTCTATCTCAATCTTTCCGTCATTTTATATTTTTTAATTATAAAATTCAAGCTTGTTTTACATAATAAATAATATAAAATTCGCGATAAAATTTAAATTTGATGTTTCTCCGTAAGATATTCGTAAAGCTCTATAAAAGTGAGTATTCTCGTCCGCCATTTTTCTTCCAACTGCATGTGAAGGTTAGGTTAGGTTAGGTTATACGTCATATATACATATGTCGAAATGTCAATACGCATTGTCATTGCACGCCTTTTGATGCCGTAGTTAATTAAAAAATTTATCTTAAATACAAAGTTGAAAGAAAAATGGCGGACGAGAATACCTACTTTTATAGAGCTCTAATATTCGCGGAAACGGATCGGGAGGACCAAATATCCCAGTTGTCATCGTGTAAAATAGCACTAGTTTACAAAAAGATATTTTCTTCTATTATTTGGAACAAGAAAAAATGTTTCCTATAGATTTTTAAGTAAATTTTCATCAGCACATTAAGTTTCCTAAATAATTGAGGTTTATTAATATATGCTTTTATACAAAAAAGTTAACGTTATTTTGAAATTTTTATCAGAAGACATGAATGTATTGTTTATCATTTTTTTATTTCGATATCTTACTTTTCAGTCATATTAAATGCATTTTATAGGGGATGAATTGTACATTTATAATATCTGATCAGAATGCTTTTTTTGCGATATTTTAAATTCTTTCGTAAAAAAGTTAACGTTATTTTGAAATTTTAATCAAAAGTCCTGAATATATTGTTCATCCTCTATAAAATTCATTTTTAAAAATTTCGATATCTTACTTTTTAGCCATATTAAATGCATTTTATAGCGGATGAACTATAATATTTATGAGATATCTGATCAGAATTTCTAGATTATATTAACATTTTTTACAAAAAAATTTCAAATATATAAAAACGCTATTTTTTACTCATTAAACCTCAATTATTTTAAAAATTTGACGTGCTGGTGAAATTTGGTTGACGGCATCGTTTTCAGCACCTAAAAATCTACGAGAAATACTTTGGTTTAAAATAATTTTTCGTTGTAAATGTCGAGTGTAATTAAATATGTGAAAAGAATATAGATGAAGCGATAAGTGTAAATATAGCGTTGTTCTCGATTTAACGCTTGATTGACGCTTTAAATGACCTTTACTTGTGATATTTCTCCGACTTTCGTGCCAAATTTGTCTTGTATTTTTAGGGAACCCTATCCGGTTCTGTGATATATTTTATTGTAAAAATACCAGGAAATAGCAATGTTAAATATTCCTATTGATAGAAACGCGAGACGAGATATAAGCCGCGAGATGAACGGAATGACCCCTGCATATATTCTACGACGTTCCATATTTTATAGGAAATGTCGATATATGTAGAACACCGACATCGCGTAATACCTAACTTTAAAATTTAAAACAAGATGATTCAAACTAAGATATAACATCTAATATATATTATGCGCCAAAGAGAATTTCATTTTACACCAAATTATACATCGGTTTACGGAAGCAATTTAATTTTCATAATTACACGTGACATATCTTTCCCATCGATTTGACATTTCATTCATTATGACGTGATTAATAAATGGTGATTCCCCGCGGAGCGAGTCCCCCCCCTCCCCCACGGCCCCCGCGGCACCCCACCCTC